GTTACATAGAATATAGAATTATATTTTTCATTATTTACACTTTACAGTTGAAATAATAAATAGCGAAAGGTATAATCCATATAATAATATTGCTATAAAAAAAAAATATAATTAAATAGGTACATTAAATTGTTGAAAATGAAAGGCCCAAGTACAAAAATTTCTAGGGGGCCTGGGCGGGTAATGCCACCTTCCCCCCCAGCCAGTCCGCCCCTGAATATGGATGTACACTAAACATAAAATCTAGTTATTTTATTGTAAATCTTACAATTTACCAAAATAAATCTTATAAAACATATACCATAAATTATTAAGATTAAAATAAATGTATTTATCGCTTAAAAGTTCTCAATGTTGATCGGTGGTTAACACAAACATCATATTCACATATAGTGCTTATCTGTAACTGCAGTATTCTGTATGTATAATATACTTACCTGAGACACTAACATAAAGCTTTAATTGAAGTTCAACATAGCAATGTATCGTGCAATATATTTTAGGTATAACAAAACATATATAAGTTACAAGTAACGATTTATTCTTTCTTTTATTTTCTATACAAAAAAAAAAAATTTAATTAAGAATTTCTCATTGTTAGTCAATTAAATAATACTATTATTATATTTTAAAACTGTTACCTAGCCAAATAGTTGTATTCTGTATTGATCACTTCTAAAATTTTCTCAGCGCTGATACATAAGTGTTGGTGGTTAACATATACATCATACATATATAGTGCTTACCTGTATCTATTCTGTGTGTATAATACCTGAGACACAAACATATAGCTTTGGTTAGAGTTAAACATGGATTTTATCGTGCAACATTTAGAAACAACAACATAATATACAAGCTTCATCAATGTATAACTTTTCTCTCCTTTTCTATAAAACAAAAAAAAAATCATAAATTACTTAGGTTTTGTTAGTCACTTAAAAAAATAATACTTATATAGTATTAAATATTATAAAACAATTCGCTACACCAAACAAATTATTTAAAAAAATATTAAATTATACTTAGAAACTCCCAAACTTTGGGATGAGGCTTTATCAGCCTCAGCAGCGATGCATGGTAGCTTTCTACATAGTTGTTTGTCCTAATGTCCTGGTTCAACACTGTTACAGTTGCTGGTCCCATTGTTATAAACCAATATCCCCAAATGTAATTAAACATAAATTGGTTTAATTGCAATGCCAAATATGGGAATTGGTTTACATACTCAACAATGCTATTAAAACCATCCTCCAATGAAGGTAAAACATCACCAATTTGTGTAGCTGGTAAGTATAGTAATGCTAAAATCTGAATGTAAAAACAAAATAAAAATATATTAATTAGTTACTGTAATTTGTGTATTGATAATGTGGTTAGGGTAAGGTCTAAAGATTAAATTAAAAATAATGAATGATATATAAAACTATAGGTTATTCTATAGACAAATTTTAGTTATTATACATTATAATAATTTTTATTCATTTTTACAAATTACCATTCGAAGCACACGAGCAGCATTATTGTCAGCTTTGAATAATTGAAATAAGTTGCTCCTCTTATTTCTGGCATATCTTATTACTGCCTGACATATATTATTAATTATTAATTACGTACTATTAATTTTAATAGATTCAGTGGAAGGTGTTTGCTATTTACTTGACAGTAATGAAAGTAACACCCTTGGTATTTACTTTCTGGAAAAACTAAATTTACTGCATTGATTAGCCCTTGCTCAAAATCAGTAATAATTGTGAGCTGATTATAACATAATGGAAGCACATTTCTTATGTAATGAAGTAATTCAACATAAATTTGTTGAGTTTTTCCAATTAGAAGGGCATGACCTAAAGGGAAGTTCTGGAACAAGATAATGTATTACATTATTCTATAGAATATATTATGTCATTGTAAGTATTTACAATATTCTATTTCCATAAAATAATTGTCATTAAATATATTAGTATTTGTTGAATTAACAGGATATACTATAACGTTTTAACAATGAGTAGTGGAATAAAATATTAATTTAAATAATATGGATATTATTATTATTATTACTTAATTTGAGTCATACTAAATTATTATGCTAGTCATAATAAATTAATATACTACCCAGTACACTACACACATATATTGAAACTTACAACATCCTTAAATACAACTTGAAAATAAAATAATTGATAGGCGTCATTTTCTAAAAATTTTGGTACTGTCTTAAATGTGCCATCGCACCCTGCTACTCGGACCTAAAAATCCATAACAATAATTCATTAAATAACATTCATATACATAATTGATTTATTGTGACCAACATTTCTCAAATCTGGTGCAATTGCATTTATATTGGCTACATTACAAAAAATCACTCCACTCACGGTTCCCTCTACCAGCTATGGACCTTGATAAAACCTATTAAAATGGTTTGTTTTAATTCTTTTCTTATGTTTTTTGTTTAATAAATGAAAATAATTAATATTTTTTAACCGGTTAGGAGGATTCTGTAGTGTCATTGCAAAACATTCAATTTCTGCAGCCGTCAACAAATCGTGCAAGTTTGCCATGTTTCGTGGTGTCGGAGGGAAAAACGTACGTCTTAAACACCGCATCCTATCATAACTCTGTACAAACGTATAGTTCTCTGCAGCCTCTGGAAAGCTAATTCATACATCATATCAAAAACAAGTAAATAAGGATATCAAAACTAACCATCACCTATGCATAGTTGCATACCTTTTGTAAACTGTACAAAAAAAACTTACAAAATAAGCAAAAAACTAGTTTATAGGTAGGTACTAACTTTGCAATTGTTTGCATATAAATTCCACGTGGAGTATATGAGTTTATTTTTTTTTCTAAAGCTCTCTCAGTTATCTCCTGTCGAAGCAGTGGAATATTGAGGTTGAACTCTCTGACACCCAGTGTCGGCCTGGGATCTAAAGGGCCCATGAGGCAATTTTTTCAAAGGGCCTCTCAAAAATACCCCTTTAACTTTTTTGTTAACAGCTTTCACTGTAGTAAAAATGTTAAAAATGTTAAAAATATCTATATTTATACAATATGTAACCACAAAATGTGATATGCATAAAAATTAATTAAATAACTTGACAGAACTAGAATGTTATATAGTTCAATTTATATTAGTAGTCCTTTTAATAAACTTAATGAGTTAGCCACATTGTCAATCAATTTTTCTCGGTCGATTTCTATATCTTTTTCTACAGCCATCATCATTAATGGACCCAAATTTTCTTGTCTTATAGTTGATCGTAATTTTGTTTTTATAATCTTTAGTTTTGAAAAAACTCTCTAGCATGAAACTTGTGTAGATGGACAAAATAGATTTGATTGAAATGATAATTCTCGAATAATCACAAAAGCACAATAAATACAATTTCTGCATTTATTACAATCAGGTTTTTTTGTTACTTCATCTCCACTCTCAGTATCATCAGATGATTCAGTTTGAGTATTTGTATTATTTTTGTAATTTAAATCACTAAAAGATAAATCTGGTAGGAAATTTTTAAATTGAGAAGCAAATTGTTTTAGCTCCAAGCATATTACTTGTCTGTCTACTCCTGCCAATTCACAAATGGTTTTTAAAGCATCACTATGTTTTATTGACTCAATGTTGGAAAACGATTTTGGGTCTAACCAATTGCAGTCTCTGAGTAAATTTTAATTTGGAACAAATCTTTTTTCAATACTATTAAGTATGGTATCCAAAATGTTAAAAGAATTTAGTTTGAATTTTTCAAATGAACTAACACTTCTGGATTCATCTTGACAACTTTCACCAGGTAATATTTTTTTTTTAGAAATTCTCTTTTGAGGAAAATCATCTTGAATATCAATTAAGTTTTCATTAAAGTAGTGATTGTTAACTGTCTCTGCAAAATGTTTGCATTTTTTCAACAAAGACATTACATAATTATTATTTCTTTTTTTAATACTTCTTTTTTCATGGTATCTATCATTTTCCAAGCTTGCAAATAATTGATGGATTTGGATTGTAAATATTTTGAAACAGGGCTGGTGATAGTATAAATATCAATCAATAAAGTTGCCACACAAATCATTTCAAACTTTGACCAATTATTAATGAGACATCTTGCCGTATATTTTGTTTTTGTATTAAAATTTCCTTTGCAAATTGCTAAAAGAAAATCAAAAAATATAATAAACTTACTATTTTCAATTTTAAAATGATCTACTAATAATATGTTATCCATAATTGATGTTATTGCCTTATCTTTACTCCACCATCGTGTGGCGCCAATTTTTTGTAATCTATGAAGTTTATTATGAGCTTGATTTTTATTTCCAGTAATTGAGGTCCAAATTGACATTCTCTTATGAGAATCTGATAAAAATACTGAAGATTGTTCAACGAGTCCAAATAAGTCTTCTGCGGGTAATATATTTAGTACACTCAGTCATAACTAAGTTAAGAACATGACCCATGCAATGAGTATATACAATAGGTATTAGAATTATGATTTTTTAAGTGTGCTTGTAACCCATTGTATACTCCCTTCATGTTAAAAGCACCATCAAATGAACAGGCAATTACATCACTCAGTGATAAATCAAGTTTTAGCAGTTCTTTTTCTAATAGGTTAAAAAGCCCTAAGCCAGATGAATCACTACATACTATTAAACTTAACAATCTTTCTTGAACTATACCATTGTAAATATAGCGAACACAGATTGCAAGTTGATCCAATACGCTTATGTCTTGAGTGCTATCTATCATAATACTGAATTTTCGAGATTCTTTGATTTCATTGACTATACTATTTTGAATGGATTGTCCAATTGGTATAATTAATTTTTCATTTATGAAATGTTTGGACAAAAATGTTAATAAAGATCCGCGGCCCTTTTTTGATTTGTTTTTTTCACTATTTTCAATCGAGATACCAACATGTTGTTTTAAAATAGAATCATAGTTGGAGACTAACTTGACCAATTCCAAAAAATTTCCATGATTACCATTTTCATTTAATGAATATATAACCTTCCTGTTTACCTCGATAAGGAATTCCTTTTCGGCCAATGAATAGTATTATAGAAATTAAACGGTCTAACACTTTTCTTTTAGTTTCCACCTCTTTAGCTCTTTTGGACATTAAATCGTAGTTCATTATATAGTCAATATGTTTATTTAAATTAAATCGAACAGCTGAAGAAGACGAATTTTGATGATATAATGAATTTTCATGTCTGTCAATATTAATATACAAGCTTTTCCGTTTTTTTATATCTGCAATGTAACCCGTAATAAATTTAGATTCCTTCGTCTCAAGATTTAACCGCTCTCCATATGCCATACAGTTAGAACAGTACAAAGAATTATTCTCTAAACAATATGATATCCACTTTCTTTGGACAACTTCGCCATTAATTAAATGCTTATAATAAATTCTTTTGAAATCGAGTTTTCCTTTACCAGTTTTTACAAAGGGCTGAATGGGATGATAACTGAAAAATTTATTTTTTATTGAAATAGAATCATTATGAGATGGCTGAATAAATCTTGTCATGGTAATAACTTCAGGTACTTTGTTGTCTAACTGAGAAGAACATTCTATAACAGAATTTTGAAGACATTCTTTTTCTTAATAATAATAATTAAATTAGGGCTTATTACAAAAATATTAAAATTTGTTATAATAAAATTACCATATAAATCATTTTCTTTTCCAATTTGAGAAGCAATAACAGGTTCACATTCAATAACAGAATTTTGAGGACATTCTTTTTCTAAATAATAATAAATAAATTAGCGTTTATTACAAAAATATTAAAATTTGTTATGATAAATTACCATATATTAAATCATTTTCTTTTTCAATTTGAGAATCAGCAATAGGTTCAGATTCAATAACAGAATTTTGAAGACATTCTTTTTCTAAATAATAATAATAAAATTAAGGCTTATTACAAAAATATTAAAATATTTTGTAATTGTACTTAAATTAACTGTATTATTGGGTCTCGCCTAGTTTTATTCTAATAAATAAGTTATTATTATCATTATTAATTTGTTATAATAAAATTACCAGATATAGTATTTTCTTTTTCATTTTGAGAATCAGTTATAGGTTATAATAAATAGAATATGCAGCTCTAAAATTTTCTTAGCGTATGCACTGCATTTACTAGGTAAAATATTTAATTAGGTACATATTATTATAAATTGTAAAGTAAATCAAGAAAATGTGGTACAGAAAATGAATTCATCATGTTTTAAAAATTCTGAATTATTTAAATAAATAAGCAACAAATTTGAGAAAAATAACTGTCTATGCTAGCCTTGAACCTCCCTGTAGAACCATCACTGGTCATTAACCTAGACAGTCCATAGCCAACATTTGTATTAGTAAATATCCATTAAATATATGTAAAGAGTACTTATATTAAAATTTACATATATCTTACGTTCAATAACATTTTCCATTGGCAAGTTTTCCGTACTTGAACTTGGTTGATTTAATCCTGCCATAAAAAACTGAATTTTTTGTTGGCCAGGCGATAATCCACATTCGATTAGTTCGCTTTTTCTTTTTGCTGGACGTTTTGCAGCACCAGATAAAAATTTTCGTTTATACATTATTTTGTTTTAACAATAAACAGTCAAAATACAATTTAAATAAACTAAATTAATTAATTAAAAATATACAATATCAAAAGATAATATTACAATAAAATCAAGTGACTTGATTATATAATTTAATTATTTATGAATACATTCATAATAATAAAAAAATACATGTATTATTTTCAACACTGCGATTTTGTCGCACTAGCCATAAAGCACAGACTACTAGACGTCTAGACTAGACTATATGAAAAAAATTCACACTGTCAACTGTTCGACAACAATTTCTAATCAGGGAATCGAAAAACTCCCCGTTTATACACGGGTTCTAAAAATAAATTATCAGTAATGTTTATAATATGTTTGGGTGACGCGGCTGTAATCAAAGGCTTAGGTATCAGCACGCGCCACGCAGTACGCACACGATCGGTAAATGTACGTTCGATCACAAACTTGTATTTAAACATTTTCAACAAATGAAATAAGGCCTCATCTTGAAAAATACAGGTCGGGACCTCGGAGGCGATCGCCTCCTAGCCGCCTGCGCCAGGCCGACACTGCTGACACCATGACAATGGCGCTTTGACAGTGTCAACCTATCATCGTTGCGGTCCGGAGATATATGAGCAGTTGCATGGCACTGTTCTTCCAATTTTTTTTCGTAACATGACAAGTAACTAAAATGTATGATTATAATTTAATATACTTTTGTTTAATAATACATTTTATAGTTAATACTCACATTTTAGTATCTGTTACTTTATTCTTATAATACATGAACCCAAGATTATCTCTTATAATTTCTGTGCCTCTTTGAATGCCTAGAACTACAGTGTAGGACTGTGGTCTTACTACAGCAACCGGAAGCAGAGGTTCTAATATTAACAATTAAAAATAACATGTTACCTTAGAAGCATACTAAATGGCCATCCGGAATCCATATCATGAATAGGTTATAAAACTTCTGTACCAGTGGTTTAATGGTTTAATCAAAGAAAAATACTTACAATCAGGGGCTGTATTTAAGATGTCGCTGTTGGCAACAATATTTTTGCGCTACTGGCTTTGGAAATATTTTCTTATCTCAGTATTTTTACTCAATTATTATTACTCACACAAAATCAAAAATAAGTGTCTTATAATTAATTAAATATAATTGTAAATTATAATATATAACAAACTTTTATAGAAGACTAAACTGTATTATTATATTCTATACTAGCTATTCCGCCCATAAATTATATTTGTAAAAAATGTATATACCACATTTCAACTAATTATAATAGTAATATATAATGTAACCAATGTCAACCATATGAATAAACTAACTATTACAAGACTGTACTAAAATCTGCCGAGTAACCTTTTCAGAGTTAAATATTTAGATACCTACCTATTGTGTTATAAAATAATATTTCTATAGCATACTCCTATGTGGTATAAGCCACAAACTAATTATATGGATTTGTGGTATCCAATTTAGTACTTAGACAAACAAGAGATCATTTAAAAAAAAAAAACAATTTTTCACTTCGCCCAAAAAAATTTTGCAGTTCTTGATTGGGAACCAGTATTACGCAATGTATTTATAATATACTCACTATTAACTATAATTTTCCATTGCCTATTCGTAAACATAATTTTACTTTTTTATAATCGCCGTAAAAATGTTGTCGCCCCCTAACATAAGCCAGGGTGGACTATTGCCCTCCCAGACCACCTCTTAAATATGACCCTGCTTACAATAGTTAGAAATAATTGATAGTTAAATACTTGCAATAAGTTCAGGAGATGAAGGATTTACATTTAATATATTTTATTTACAATTAAAAATGTGTATACTGTATACATACCATTATGATCAACAACGGGTTCTTGTACACCAAAACAATTATGATCATGATTGATGATGTCTAAACAGTAACAGAAACAATTCTTATAACAACCTTTTGAATTATTGTGAATACATTTAGAAGTAAACCTACTTATCATTCAGTACTAATTAAAACTAAAAAAAAAAAAGTGCTTCCATTATGTTATGATCAGCTCACAATTATTACTGATTTTGAGCAAGGGCTAATCAATGCAGTAAATTTAGTTTTTCCAGAAAGTAAATACCAAGGGTGTTACTTTCATTACTGTCAAGTAAATAGCAAACACCTTCCACTGAATCTATTAAAATTAATAGTACGTAATTAATAATTAATAATGTATGTCAGGCAGTAATAAGATATGCCAGAAATAAGAGGAGCAACTTATTTCAATTATTCAAAGCTGACAATAATGCTGCTCGTGTGCTTCGAATGGTAATTTGTAAAAATTAATAAAAATTATTATAATGAATAATAATTAAAATTTGTCTATAGAATAACCTATAATTTTATATATCATTCATTATTTTTAATTTAATCTTTAGACCTTACCCTAACCACATTATCAATACACAAATTACAGTAACTAATTAATATATTTTTATTTTGTTTTTACTTTCAGATAACTTGTTTTCTATGTAAATTGGTTGGCCACACAACAGCTAATTGTAAAAAAAAAAAACCGGAGAAAAATCTAACAGTGATTACCTGTCCGATTCCAATGCAACCAACACTATGGATATCACCACTGAAACGAAACAAAAATTGAAGACACTCTCCCACCTCCCGACTTAGATTTTCTAGGAAAAAATATTTCAGACTGGTCTAAAGAACCATCAACCCTGAAGTACCCCACGACTCTTCTCCAAACGAGATATATAAAAGACCAATCTCCGAATCGTCATCCTCAAACCCTCCCCCCTTCTCACCGAACAATTTAAATACTTCCACGATCATTCCGCACAAGGAAATTGTCACCAAAAAACCCAAAATTCGATAGCGATCAAATTCGTCCAACAGACAAACAGAAAAACCTTATGAAGAGGGCCTCAAAACTGTGGAAGAATTTTTCACTTATAGAGATCCCTCACCAATCACTTTTCTCCAATTAAGATACATCCTAGATAATTTCACTATCAAATCTTTGAACATTCACACGCTGGTTGAAAATGTAAATACTGATATAATATCTCTAATGGACTTATTAGACTCAATCCGAGAAATAATAAAAGATCGTAAACTTAAAACACGTTTATCAAGGTTAGCACAACTTCTGTTTCAAACACTACCCCCTCAACAAAACCCTACATAAGCCAAACTCAAGCAACACAACACATATATAGCCAAACTACCACATCACACCCCCCCTCACCCATTCCCCAACTCATAAAAACACACTAATAATGAATTATATTATACAATGGAACATCAATGAACTCCTTAAACACTTCGCCGACGTCCAACGTGCAAAATACAGCATTCAACCATTAGTTTTTTGTTTTCAAGAAACCAACTTAAAAGCCCACCAAGACTTCCCCTTACGTGGATACGACGGGTATTATAAAAATCGTCTAAACACTGCTCGTGCTAGTGGTGGTGTGGCTACCTATGTTTCAAATCTTATCCAAAGTGAAGAAATCCGAATTCAATCTCCACTAGAAGCAATAGCCGTCATTATTAATATCAAAAACCCAATATGTATATGTAATATATATATACCTGACAGCACCGCTCTACTTCTCCACGATCTTAACCAAATCATTTAACAATTGCCCAAACCTTTCCTTCTTTTAGGTGACTTCAACAGCCGCAATTCATTGTGGGGTTCAAACTATACTGACCCTAGAGGCAAAACAATCGAAACATTTCTGGAAAACGATCAACTAATTCTTCTTAACACCGGAGAATACACCAGACACGACTCAACAAATAAATCTTTTTCCGCCGTAGACCTATCAATAACCAATAGCTCATTTGCGCCTCAAATCGAATGGCAAGTTCTCAATGAGTACAATTGTAGCAATCATTGGCCCATATCCTTAACACTACTGGACCAAACACCAAAAACATCGCCATACACACTTTGGAATCTAAAGAACCCAATTGGGAACTCCATTATGATCTAATTAACCAACATTTACTAGAAAACCCTATACAAATTGATACTGAATCCAAACTTTGTCAAACACAAATAAATTCTATAATAACACAGTTCTCAAAAATTATAATAGACGATTATAGCTATTGGAAAAACAAACATAACCCACAAGAGAAAAACAGTGCCATGGTGGAATGAAGAATGTAAAGAAGCAATTAAAAAATACAAAAAATGTCTAAACAAATTAAAAAAGACAAAATCACTCACTGATCACATAAACCTAAAAAAAACTCGAGCAGAATCTAGATATATAACTAAAAAACACAAAACGTAATCATGGCAGAAATACACAAATTCAATTACCCCCAACATTTGCTCAACAGAAATATGGAAAAAAATCAAATCAATCAAAGGACTGACTCATCAACCTTTCCCATCTATTCTTAAACAAAATGACATACAACTATCATCTCCAATATACATAAGTGAAGCCTTTGCACAATCTTTCACGAAAAACAGCTGTGACTCAAATTTTGATCCAGTTTTTACACATTATAAACATAATCATGAGAATCTAATCATCAACGAGCTCAACAACAACTTTCAACATCAAGATGGTTGTCTTAATATCCCATTTAATGAAAATGAACTCCATAATGCCATGTTAAACTGTAAAAGCAAAAGCCCTGGGCCTGATGATATACCCTACTCGTTTATACAAAATATGCCCTCCAATGGTATAACCCAACTTCTTAAAATATACAATATGATCTGGAATAATGGCATATTCCCTGATCAGTGGCGCAACGCAATAGTTATGCCTATCTCCAAACCTAACAAAAACAAATTTAATTTAGCCAATTATCGTCCAATATAACTTATAAACACAATGGGGAAAATAATGGAAAAATTGTAAATAAACGTCTTATTTGGCACCTGGAGACAACCAACTTTTTCACCGAAGAACAATGTGGCTTCCGCCGAAATCATTCTACAATAAACACCCTCGTAAAACTCCACACCGACATAAATAACGCAAAAAA